AAAAAACCAGAAGGCATGGTGGATTTCATGAACAAATATAGAAATTAAATCACTCTGTAGAGACTCCTTTGGAGAATAAAACTACTCTGTAGGGCTGTTGAACAAAAATGACCCATTCACTTTCAGTCTGTCTATGTAAGCAACTCATGGTGATGGGAAGAAAGGGATTGGAAAGGTCCAGAAGTAGCTTCGTTCCTCCACCTGGGGAAGCTAGATTGTTGGTCTTCTTACTTCTGTTAGGAGCATACTTTTGAGGAAATAGTCTTCCTTTAGGGCCTGTTGCCCAAATGCTCAAACTCAAGAATTCTCTAACTTGGAAACTCTTGAATTTTGGATTACCACCAAAATATCCCCCATTCATAGAAGGATCCATTCTCATGGTCTGTGAATCTTTGCTTAGAAAAGGGAAGACAAGGACAGAAGGAGGCAGCCAGGAAATGTGGCTCAAGGAATTCAGGTCACCTAGGCTCACTCTGTGCTTCTTCAGACTCATTTTCTGCTTCAGGAATTCTCCCATCCTCAACACCCCCCACCCCTTTTCTCTTGCTACGTTCTGATCTGGAAGGCCAAGGGAGAGAAAGCATGTGGGAGGAAACAAAAGAGACCAGGCTGATATTTACACCTTGGGGATGTGGCAGCTTTTCTAAGCAGAATTCATTCCCTCCTGACAGTCACCCGTCATCTTGACAGTAGCCTCAGTCACTGGGAGGTAAGAAAGATTCCCTGTGTTGTCTCCACAGGGTGCCAGAGTACATGCCAACTTCTCTGATAGGAGCCCTTCAGACAGAAGTTCCCACCCTGTAATCTCATTAAGTGGACTGAGAGTCTCATCCAGTTGATCAAGGATCCCCTAATAACCCTCCCTACCCCATAGGGAGTCCTAGACTCTCAGCGTATAGTTTCCATCTATAAAGAATAGAGTTAAACTAAACAATCTCTCTGGTCTCTTTCAGCACAGAAATATTGTGACTCAGTAGAAACATAATTGAAAGGCAGCATGTTATAGTGGATAGAGGGTCAGTATTGGAATCTGTAAGTGTTGGGTCGTGCCCCTGGCATGTGCTAACTGTGGGCAAGTCACTTAACCTTTCACTGGTGATCCAAGCAACTCTGAATTTACAGAATTCCTGTTCTGCATTAGTGGAAGGCTTTCCAACACCGGAAATCCCCTATACCTATGAAATTATAGGTCTGGATGCCTTCCTCCCTCAGCTCCCCATTAAAAAAATTTTCTATCATTGGCCCAAAAGAGAGACTCTTTCCTCTGTAATCTAATTTTACATGATATAACATATACCTGAAGGAAGATCTACACAGAGTCCATATGGATTTCCTATAATCATGTCCACTAAACTAATGCATTCTGTGCATATAGGAGAAAATAAACTTCACTCAGGATGAAGGCTGGAGAATCTCAGTCATTGGAACCACAAGGCCGAATTCCACTTTCAGCATTATCCCAGATGCTGCCATTTCAGTGTGAGGCAATGTGGCAATGTGTCACAAAATATTCTTTTTTAAATGGACAGGTGCATTTGTAGGTACATATTTTTATTCTGCTGCTGTCATATGTTGTTAGTCATTCAAAATGTCAGCACCAAGTTTGAGGTTTATTTAACTCACTGACTTTGATTTTGGCAATAGCCAGAAAGTAAGTGAGTGTGTGTGTGTGTGTGTGTGTGTGTGTGTGTGAGAGAGAGAGAGAGAGAGAGAGAGAGAGAGAGAGAGAGAGACAGAGACAGAGACAGAGAGAGAGAATGCAAGAGTGTGCGTGTTTATGTGTGTAGGTGGTGGGTGTATTTCCAACTTCCATGTTTCCTTTCTGCTTTTGCGTGTGTTTCTTTCCCCTTCTCTTCCACACTTCACCTATCCCATCCCAGATGCTAGGCTGGGGTTGTTTACTAGTTGGGGTGTTGGCATTATTCTGTATAGCACTAAAATTCTTGACGCAGAAGTAGGATCTGTTGTTGATTAGGGGGTGAGAGGGCAGCATTATCATGTAGCATTGTTCTGAACCTGACTCAGTCTGGTTGCCTGGTAGCTCATGTTCTATACAGAAACAAAAGGAGACACTTTTAAATCAATAGTTAACAGAAAGAAAATTGCTTAGCTAGAGAGGAGAAAGATATTCAACAAGGATAAGCATTGAGGACACTCTAAGTTGATTTCGTTGTGCATAGCTCCCTTTCCTGGGTTGCCCATTGTGGTTTACTAGCCAAGCATCAGAACGTTTCTGAAACTCCTCGTAGCTGTTTTGTACGCAGGTCACTCGAAAGTGATCTGAATAGCCTGGATTTTTAGTCCTCTGAGCCAATCAAGTCTCAAGGATGGTTTCAATACTTTTGAAAGGAAAAACTAGTCTAAACTGCCTTGGGGCAGAGGTTAGGATAGTCCTTCTACCACAAGGGTGTCATTCCCCCTTGAATAAGGAGGAAGGTCCTAGTTCTGTCATGAAAACTTGAATAGAAGGTAGATGTAACAAAATTAGAGTAAGGTTGTATGTGTAATTATAGCCTGGATAAATGTAGTAAAGAGCTGAGGTATGGGTCCATGTTGCTGCAGGACAAAACTCTGGCCTTGAGGCCAGCCATAGTAAAGGCCAGCCACATTGCCTTAGGCTGAAATGGCAGTCTGGGATAATGCCAAAAGTGGAATTCAGCCTTGTAGTTCCAATGCCTGAGATTCTCCAGCCTTCACCCTGAGTGGAGCTTATTTTCTCCTATATGCATAGCACACATTAGTCTAGTGGACATGATTATAGGAAATCCAAATGGGCTGTGTGTAGACCTTCCTTCACCTCAGCTTTTGCTGAAAAAGGTATATATCTTTTATTTTTAAAGGGGCAAAGACCTATTCCCAATTAATTTGTGATGCATTAATTGTACAAAAAGGATTTAGTTAACTGCCAGATTTTTGCGTTTGTCATGTGCATGGACAGACATAAGAATGCAAAGGAGTATAGTCAAGAAATAAATTACTTAAGCAACTACTGAGAAACAATCTTCACTCTTTCTATCTTCTGTGAATGGAGCAGGAAACAGAGTGGAGTTTAGAGCAAATATTCTATTGTGAGTGTAAGCTAACCCAGTGTGTTGAAAGATGAAGCCCAGCACCTTCTGTACAGGTAAATTCTATCAAACATTTAAAGAATTCCAATTTTATTTAAATTATTTTCAAAAATAGGGTAAGATGGGATCCTTCTGAAAACTGCTTCTATGAGATGAATGTGGTCATCATTCTTAAACCAGAGAGAGATAAAGCAAAGAAAGGAAACTACAAAACTCCATCGCTAATGAATATCAGTATAAAAATATTGAATAAAATATTTGCAAAGAGGCTGCAGCAAACATATTAAGAAGATTATACACTATAACTAAGTTGGATTTATATTAGAAATGCAAGGTTGGTTCAATATTAGGAAAACTTGTGCTAGAGCTAATATTTACCAGCATTTCCCAGATACAGCTTCTTTCCTCCCACTCAGAATATGGGGAGGTCCAGGTTCTTCCTCCTTCCCTCCTTTGACAGGGTTTAGCTTTCGCTAAAACAAGACAAAGATGTCCCTAGGACAGCTTGTTCCCGCCTTCTCTGACTCTGCTTCTTGGCCACCTGCTGGCATAAAAAGTTCCAGCAATGGACAGTAGGGGTCCCTCTGACTTGGTGAATTTTTGAAAACCACTGGAGTCACTATGTTCTTGACCATATCCTGCCCTGATTACCAGAAATGCTACCATATGGAGACAAGGAAGGTGAGGCGGGCCAATCCAGAGAAGAGGAGTGCCACTATATACTTACTGCATATCCTCATTGTTTTAGGACAAAGTAAATTTCCTTATATTAACTGTTCATTGAATTATAAATGCTGTATTTCATCCCAACATAAAATCTAAATTAAAAGAGTATTGATGTTAGAGCTACCCCTAACATAATAATCCATATTAATAATGAAACCAACAAAGCACGTGGTTATGTTAATAGATGCAGAATTATTTTATTTTATTTTATTTTATTTTTACAAAATACAGCTTCCTTTTATGCTAAAGCAGTAGAAAACATAGGAATAATTAAATCATTCTTTAATATGGTCAATAATATCTATCTAAAGTCAAGAACTAGCAGTATCTGTAATGAAGAAGCATTAGAAGACTTTTAAATAAGATCAGAGTAAAGCAAGGCTACCTACTCTCACAATTATCATTTGATATGTTGTAGAAATTTTAGCTGTAGCAATAGGAAAAGAAAAAGGAATTGAGGTAATAATAAGCATAGACAAAGAAATTATTGCTTTTTGTAGATGATGTAATGGCTAATTTAGAGAACCCTAGAAAGTCAACTAAAAAATTAATAGAAACCACTGACACTTCAGTAGTGCAACAGGATACAAAATAAACCTATAAAATCATTAGCATATCTGTAGATCGCTAGCGAAACCAAGCAGGAAGAGAGAAAAAGAAATTCCTTTCAAAATAACTAAGACTATATAAATTATCTGGAGGTTCACTTACCATGACACGCACAGGAATTACATAAATACAACTACAAAATACTTTACAGATATAAAGGAAGACTGAAATAATTGTAGAGGAATGAATTGCTCATGGTTGGGCTGTGCTAGTATTAAAAAAAAAAGTTAAAGTACCTAAATTAATTCACTGAATCAGTTCCATACAGATGAAACTACTAAAATATTCCTTTATAGAACTAGACACAAGAATAACAAAATTTATTTGGAGGCACAAAAGTTAAAGCATCTCAAAGGAAATAATGAAAAATAATGGGAAGGAGGTTTAACAGTAACAGATCACAAACTATGCTGTAAAACAGTAATAAAAAAATTTTGGTGCCATAAAAAATAGAAAAATTGATCAGTGGAATAGATTAGATGTTGAAGATCTGTAAGCAGTGGGAGATGATGGCATAGTATTGTTAGAGCTCTCTAATGCAGTCACCCTCTTGTTTTATGGGTGAGTTCATCCCATTCACATTCACAGTCATGATTATTAGTTGCGTTTTTCCTTTCATCGTATTCAATTATAGTGTTCCTCTCTTTGTCCTTCATCTTTCTCCTTTTACAAGGAAAAACATTGTCAAAAAAGCAATAAATATTGGTTATCTGTAACTGGAGTATTCTGATCCTACATCTTTATCCTTCCCCTTTTCACCCAAACCATAACTGAATTGCTGGCTCTTGGCCTTTCATTCTCTCCTTTTAATCTCTGCTTTGTAATCTGTCCTCTGTAGTTGAAATTTGTTTTGCTTGCGACTGTTCTCTGCTCATTTCTACTCTACTTCTTATACTACCTTCCTTCTTTCCTTTTCCCGTCTTCCTATTCTCTCATTACTTTTAATATATCTCTATGCTATATTCTATGTGTGTTTATCAGTGTTCACACACATGTAGCTCTCCTGCTTTAGATGAGAGTGAGGTTCATGAGATTCACGTTCCCTCTACTCCTAACGCCATCTTTGTATATTCTTCTGTTGTTGTGGCCCAATTATATGGAACAGTTATTCCCTCATTTCTTCTCTAGTGTTTCCACCACCCCTCCTACACCCATTTTCTTTACTCTCTAAAGTCAAACAGAACAGCACAGAGCTCCACCCATGCTTACGGTGTGCCTTGGCTCTTCAGGACCATAAATTTTGAAGAGAGTAATAGTGTTTTTCCCATTGGTTAACATTTAGCCCCTTTAAATTGTTCGAATGTAGTTAGTCATCTTTCTAAGGTTGTCTTGTCTCCTGTATTTGCATTTTCTTACTGGGTATGCTTGAGAGTTCTCTAAGGTACTAAAAGTCTTTTTTTCTCCCTATAGAATTACACTCAATTACAGGATAGACTATTTTTGGTTGTAAGCCTTTTTGAATTTGTCATTTATTGTATTCCAAGATTTCCTTTTCCTGTGCTTGAGGCTGCAGTCTAAATACAGGGATGATTGAGACTTGGATGAAAAGTAGAACACACCTCTGATTGGACATGGCATGCCAAGAGTTAACCTGATTCATACAACTCCTATCCTGCTCTCCCTAATTGCTATGATGCTCTAATCAATATGAGTTCAATTGTTAGTGGGAATGGCTCCTTTGTTCCCATCCTGAGAAAATCAATTCCATAAGAGGGTTATTTCTGTTATATGCTATTTGCTCGGATTATGAGTTAGCAGAATCATTAGCCTTGGAAAGTGAATGAGATAGACTTGTGATGTTATTATCCTCCATATAAACAAATAGCCCTTGCTCCTCTTAATTTAGCATTCCTTGTTTCCGCAGGAAAATAGCTGAGATCTAGGAGACACAGTGGCATAGTCTCCAGATTCAGTGTGACTTTACCTTTATTAGGACTCTTTGAGACATTGGTTTTCAGGCTCAATTCCAGGCTGCTGAGAAATTTCTTGAATTCAGAGGCTCACATTCACAGGCACACAGAGGAGCAGTGCTGTGGGTCAGTTATGAAAGGGGCCTGCATAATGAGCTCAATGATGACAAATGCTAAATGTGAGTACCTTGCTAGATAGATAATATTCAAGTTATTTACTTAACATTAAAAGATAGGCTTCTCTCCAGCTTTTGTTCCCTTTTCCATACATAGTGTCCTCTCATTAAGTCTTAAAACTGAACCATGACTTTTGGAACACCCTGTATGTAATCAAATGGATAAAAGCAATCAGATGGGAATGTTCTTCAGATGGGAGACTGGCCTGGCAGAAGTGTTGAGGAGTCATGGGAGTGGGACATGGCAAAGTTAGTTAGTACAGGGTAGGATTTGGACTCAGTCTTATCAGCAACAGGGAGCCATTATAGGATATTAATTAGGAAGGTAAAGTGATGAAATCACCAAGGAGGAGCCATGTCTGGAGCAGAGATAGCCCATTGCACACAAATCTAATGAATCTCAGAGAGGCCTCCAAAGCTAGAGGTTGTTTTTTTTTTTAATTCCCGCAATTATTTTCAGGATTTGCTTTTTTAGAGACTTCTTGAGTTCTGCTGCTTCTTAGAATTTTTGGGAATCATATCTGAAATGGTGGAAAGAGAATTGGATCTAAAGCCAGGAAGATAGCAGTTTGAATCCTTTCTCAAGATTTATTAGTTGTGGGGCAGCTAGGTGATGCAGTGGATAGAGCACCAGCCCTGAAGTCATGAGCATGTGAGTTCAAATCCGGCCTCAGGCCAAACACTTGACACTAGCTGTGTGACCCTGGGCAAGTCACTTAACCCCAGTTACCTAAAAAAAAAGATTTATTAGTTGTATAAGCCTAAAAGGCTAAGTCAGGTAACCTTCTGAGTCTTAGTTTCCTCAAGTATAAAATGAGGCTAGTAATACCTGTAGTAGCTACTCCACAGGGTTGATGTGCATCTCCAATGAGACAATGTACATAAAGATCTTTGCTAACCTTAAAGCCCCATATAAAGTCAGCTATTATTAATATTATCATTTATTATATGTATGTATATATATATGTATATATATATATATTTTTTTTTTTTCAAAACCTGATTTCTAAAGCCTCTCTAGGGTATATACTTGACCACACCCAATATTACCTTCCTAAGACTAAGAGAATCTAATCACTTTTTCTTCAAAATTACCATCACTTTTATATCAGTAGTTCCTGTTTGGTCAGAATTAAATCAGTATTAGTAGCTCCCGTCATCCCTTCCTTTATTCTTTTGTAGATGAAATTGTCAGCAAAGCAAGTCAAGAGTTTATTACTTGCTTTGTAGCAGATATCCAAGTAGTTCAGTTGCTTATCACTATTATATCGTGCCTTTGTGACATTTTTGTAATCTGTATTAAAGAAGTATTATCTATATCGTCTATTTGTGTGTGTGATACTAATATGTTCCCATTCTTTTTTTTCCCTCTCCTTTAATGTCACCTAAATGTCCTTTGCCCTTGGGTTTTGGGATTTCCTACAGATATGTGCTTTCTTGTCATACAGTGCAACTCTGACATACCTTCTATTGGATCTATTTCTTTTGAACAAAGTATACCCTTCCATTGCAGTATTCCAGTTCTGAGTCTTAGCTCACTAAGTCTAAGTAACATATACCAATGAAATTGTCTTTGCTTTCTTGTGTTAGAATGTTAAGTTCATTTTCATTATTGCCTATGTCAAGGGTTCTTAACCTGGGATCTTGTGAACTTAATTTTTTTAAAATAACTATTTTCATATAATTGGTTTCCTTTGTAATCCTGAGTATTTTATTTTATGCATTTAAATATATTATTCTGAGTAGATGTCCATAGGCTTCACTAGACTGCCAAAGGGATCCATGACAAAAAAATAGGTTAAGAACCCCCTGGTTACACTGCCTTGGTGTATTGACATCTGCAGGCACAAATATATTCTTCCTTTTCTCCTGAGAATTACTGGGCATCTCCTCTATTGGTATTAAATTTTTTTTTTCTTATCATACCTATTTTTGTCCACCTTTTAATTTACAGTTATATCTGAGCATTTTCCTTCTCCTTAAAAAAAACCCCAACTCTCTCTCTCTCTCCTTCTCTCCCTCCCTCCATATCTCTCTCTCTCTCTACACACACACACACACACACACACACACCACACACACACGAGTGTGTGTGTGTGTGTGTGTGTGTATGTATACCCCCTAATAAAGATCTGTGTCTCTTGCTTCTAAGCCAGATTCAGATTCCTCTGTGTCTTTGTAAGCTATCTGTTCTAGGACTTTTGTTATCATAAGCCATCATTAAGAAGACTACTTCCTTATCATTGACATCCTAGAATGATGGAATTTTGAATTACAAAGAACCTTAGAGACTATAGGGTCCATACTCTCATCTTATAAATGAAGCAACTGAACCCTAGAGAGGTGGAATAATGATTTTTTTAAAAAGGTCACACAGATATCAGGACCGGAATTTGAACCTAGCACCTTTGACTCCAAATTCAGTGCTCTTTCCATTATGCCACACTTAGACCAGGTTTGTTTTTTCTACTTCCTGTATCCTCTTTTCCTCTCCAAGATCAAAACCTTCAAGTGGAAAAAAGAGATGATGATACTATGCTTCCCAAATGTAAGTTTTCTGCCCATAATTTCATCATCCTTAGAACTACATTCTATTTTCCCTCCTAGCCATATGCTTTGTTCCTACATGTACCTATGGCAATGGGTAAAAGCCTGCAGGGTTATTATGTTTCTTCAGACTCTCAGTCATAACTTGGGTACAGGAAGAAAGTGTACATCCCAATTATGCATTGTTAGGTCTATATATGAATGCCTACTTATCTTTCAGCAGGGAACTATCATTTTATTTCTAGGCATTTCTTTTTCTTGGACTCAGTAATGGCTTAGCTAACCAGAATGTGTGAATCTTCCTGATTCGTGTAGAGTATAAGATGATACTTCTTCAAAGAAATAAATGAAGGGATCTTACAGTAGAAAACTATGATTTGGGTAAAGAATTGAGATCATAAACCATAGATGGAGAGATCAGGGAGTAGGGCTTCCCAGTTACTCTATTTTAGGTCTGTATTAACTCATGCCTGAACTCTTGCACATTGCCTCTTACCACTAATCTCTCCTTTTAAAAATCCATCCTGTGCACTAGAGGTGTCAAACATATGGCCCATGGGCCAAATGCAGCCTGCAATACTCAGAGTGTGGCTCAAACTAGATTAAAATTTAATTGGGAAATATTTAACAAAATAAATAAAAATGCAATAAAATATAGATAATGTTACATTTTAAAACTAAGTCAATATGGGCCTCACAGGGCTTATGTACAAGTTAATGGTCCCCATTTCTATTTGAGTTGGGCACCATTGTCATACACGACCACTACAATCTTTCTAAAACACTGCACTTTAATGAGGTTATTCTCCTGCTCTAAAATTTTAGATGGCTCTCTATTGCCTACGATACAAATTCCTATGTACAACATTGAATGACTTCCAAACTCTGCTCCAAATGTACCCCAGAAGGCAGAACTGAGAGTAGATGTGTTGAAATTACCAAAAAGGCAAATTCAAGTTTGACATGAGAAAGAACTTTTTCAGCAATTGGAGTTGTCCAAGGCAGAATGGACTGACTGCCTTGGGAAGTAGTGTGTTCTTTCTTGTAAAGGTGAAGGCTGGATGACCACCTGGATGTTTGATTCAGGGGACTTTCTGGTTAGGCATGGCATGACTGGGTGAACTTGGTCAAATCATTCAGTATTTCAGTGCCCAAGATAACTCTTTTAAGATTATAAATTGTATGACAGGTGCTGATCAACATTGGTCCTCAAAGGGAGTGTTCTTTATTGATGAAATCATTGGTGTGCTTCCTCTCTTTCCAACCCTCCCCCCTACAATATGTTGAACTAATGGCTTTTTTCATTGCCTTCTATCTCAGATTCTGAGATTCTGAGATACCTTTTTAACTTTAACACCTCTTCTGCTCTTATGTAAACCTTTTCTTCTGTCCCCCAAACATGCTTTATGCCTTCCTGCCTCTATCTTAACCCTTCTTTCTATAATGACCCATCTCTGTATGTGGAATTCCTGCCCTCCTTTAGTAGCCAGCTCAAGTCCCACTGATGACTCGATCTGCCCCTCTGAAATCTTGTGCCTGTACTGCTTCATAACACTTATCTTGGGTACTGCCTCAGTGTAATTATTTGTGTATGTATTATCTCTTCAGCAAGTTGATAAATCTTTACAAGTTAGAGGTCTCATCTGATCCATCTTTGGTAGCCCTTGCCACCGCTTGTGCAATATCTTATGCTGGATGTTTCATAAATATTTGTGGATTGACGAATTGATGGCTTAGGAGATAGGTGAAGATTTTTACACGGTTGTAATGGAGAGTGGGTCACCAAGTTGATTAGTGATGAGGAGTAGGATTGCCGAGCAGTGCCCAAGTTTGAGTTTTAACTGATGAGCACAAACTTGCATTTTAGAAGAAAAGCAATCTTTGTGTTTTAACTAAAGTTTGTTATAGACACATTTATTAATTGAATAAGTCCAATAATTATAACCCACTGTTGAGCCAGGGGGCAAGGGACTATACCCTTTCCCTCTCCGTTGTGGGGCCCATTTGCTGTGGACCTGTCCATTTGGTGACTAGGTTTACTCCTAGGGAAACCTGACCACCTCCCAAAAAGTCAGGTTTCTTTTCTTACCGTTTTTTATCTTCTTATACTCCCCACTCCCATGGCCTAGAAAAAAAAAATTCGTAAAGTTTAGATTTTGGCTCATGTCTAGCATTTTCTGAAAGAGGACGATAGAAAGGTGCAAAATGTACGATGTAAATCAAGTATGGGACAGGCATTTATTTCCTTTACACAAATGAAATGCTTAACACAAAGGGCTTTTGCAAGAGTTCGTTGACAGAAACACAATATTATCTAGTATTATACTCTACTGGGTGTGTACTCTCAGAGCCTGTAGCAATTTGTGGGACTACTGAATGGCCTTTTATAGTTCACTTTGGTTCCATGCTGTCTCCCTCAAAGTCCATGTCTTCTGGTTAGCCGGTCAGGGATTTGGGCTCATCCTCTGGCTGGTCATTGTCTCTAAGAAGTGTTGGAATAGATGCTGGGGACTTTCCCTGAAGTACAACCAGCACTGACCAAGGACCCAGACCTCTGAACTTATCAAACCAGCAAGCCTGCCTCTAAGACTGGACATGTCCATTTGGGGATTGTTGTCTGGTTAGGAAAGAACAAACATGGAAGAGGTAACTCCAAACTCTCCGGTTCAGGAGCTTGCCTAGGCAGGGACGTGGGCTTTAGCTGTTATGTGTTCTCAGTTTGCTATTTTTGGTGGGATGTGGAAAAGGGCAGCTCCTTCTCTCTTCCCTCAGGGGAGCACAGTTTGCTATACAGAGAGTTGAATGAGTAAGAGACAGAGTTGGATTTACTCTAAAGGTCCATTGGGGCATTGGTTCTTCCTGTTCAGTGTCCATCAAGAGAATTGCTTCTTTGTCTCCATGTAGGCCAAATCCTTCAGTGCTGAGTTGCACATTGCTCACTTGAAGCATATAGGGACTTTATTGTCTTTAGAGCACTTGAGGGCTGAACTGGTATATGTGGCTGCCCGGAAGCAGGCAGGATGACTTTGAGCATGCCTCATCATACAAGTTGTCACATGCTTTCAACAAAGACAAAAATGGCATCAAGGTCAGCTACCACACTGATGGTAAATGATTTCACTTGAAAAAGCTAGAAGCTAAGACTAAAGTGGAGGGAGAGTTAGTGCATGACTTTTTGTTTGCAGATGATTGTATATTCAGTGCAGCCTCTGAGTCTGAGATGCAACAAAGTATGGATTGATTCTCTGCCCCTTATGCTAGTTTTGGCCTCATAACACCAAGAAAACAGAGGTTCTCCACCAGCTGGCCTCATACCATCCATACATGGAACCATTGGTTACAGTAAATATAGAAATTTTGAACGCTGTGGATAAATTCGCTTATCTTGACAGTATATTTTACAGGGATGTCCACATAGATGATGAAATTGAAATATGCTTTGCTAGAGCTAGCTTAATGTTTGGGAAGCTCTGAAGTAAAGTGTGGGAGAGAAGAGGATTAGGCTGCTTACCAAATTGAAGGAGACACTGGCATAGGACCACTCAGTATGGTGTGCCTGCATCAGAGAATATATTGTGCTCTATGATCAAAGCAGAATTGCAGTAGCTGACAAGAAACATGAGATGCCAAATTTAGAAACATCTCCATTCCAAAAGTTCATGTGGACTTATATGTACCCAACCTGTGGTAGAACCATTATTCGTCTGATCAGCCACAGTTGGACACATTGTATTTTCACCCCGACATAGTGATATTTTAGTCCTCTTCAAGAACCCCTGTGACTAACCATCACACAAGTAGTTGCAGGGGGAGAGATCCTGTCTGACCAAGTGTCGCCTGCTAGTCAGAAAACTGTCTGTTGGAACAAGTTCAAAGGAACACCTTTAGTAACAGTTTTACAAAGCAAAAAGGACACTCAGTCAACAGTAAGGACAAAGTATGTAGTTTTCAAATATAATAAAAGGCATGTGGATATACCCTTGGAATATCAGGCTGCAGTTCTGACTTCGTGATGGATTAAGAAGATTTTGTAATCCTTATATGGCCAATTATTCTGACCTTAGGAAAGAACAATGAAACTCTTTAAACACTAACCCTTAACTTTTATAACTCAAAGCAGGCCTTAATGCTGCTATAGATAGCCATACGTTGGATCAAGTCAGTTTGGACTCATACTCTTTTTTTTTTTACTAGTGCACAGAAGCATGGGAGCAAGAGGGGAGAAGGTAGATATTTTGCATAATGGAGATGGGGATTGGTGGGGCATCCTTGGTAGAGAGTTTGAGCATCATGGGTGTTAGACATTGATCTCTTCAGCATGGAGTAGTTGATTAAGGAGTCCAAGGTTGAGGGAGAGTTCAGTGTGGGGAAGACAGTGTTTCTGCGAAAGTGAATCATAGACTTTTAGAGTTGGAAAGGAACCTTAGCAGTCACCTCATCCAACTTCCCACCCTTCTACAGCACTCCCGACAGGTATTCAATGTACAGTGCAGACCAGGACAGCTATTTATTTCCTCTATACAAAATAAATGCTTGGTACACACAAGACCCGCAAACATAAACTGACTAAAACATTACTTAAGCAAGCAGTAGTTTGTTTAACTGCTACAACTGTTGTATTCTTCCATTCCTTGTTTCAACAACCCCAGTGATGTCAGAAACTTATAACCTTCCAAGCTAGGTCCTTTGATTTTTTTATAGTTCATTTTGTTAAATAGCTTTCCTTATATTGAGGCCAAAATGGAGGAAGGATGTGAGAGGTTGGTCAAGGCTTATAATGCTAGTTGTTATTTAACAGGTTTAGTAGCTGTTGCCTGGCTACGGAGGAAGACAAGCTCTGTGGAGGCTGATCGATTTCTTTTAGACACTTTGCAATTGAGATACTGGTTTAGAACAGTAAGATTGCACTAAGTCCCAATAGGCTTGGAGTTCTGGTCTGCACGTGTTTTTATTATCCATTCTACTGAGGAAATTACCTGCGAAGGAAGCTCATACTGCCCAAATAACAGATCAGGGGAAAACTTATGTCAAAAAAAAAAGCAGATTTTTTTTCCCTTTCTTTTGAAACCTCATTGATTTTTATTTCAAAGAAAGTTAAGCAAATGCTTTTTAAAGGCTTGTTACCTTCTTGTGCTTGCTGTTTACTTTACGATGTAGGATTAAAGGTGGAACATCAATTAGATGCCCTTGGCGAAGCACATGATCTTTGGTTTTATCTGGTTCACTGGGATTTCTTATCAAAATTCTTCCCCTGTCTCTGTACTGGAAAGTTGGGCTTTGCTCTCGATTACTTTGGCAACTGGAAAGGGTAGACAGTATGTTGCAAGCTTGGAACACTATGAAATAGCTTAGAAATTCCCAGTTTAGTGTTGAATTTTCCTCAGTGGGTATTTTAGGGACTTTTGGCACTGTGTAACATTGCAAAAAATAAAATAAAATCCCAAATTACAGAATTTGAGAGTTGGAATGGACCTCAGTAGCTGTCTAATCTAACCGATAAACATAAGAACTTTCCACAATAAGATACTCAACAAGTAGACATTCAACATTTACTAGAAATCCTCTGAGAGGAAACCTATTACTTCTTAAGGCAACTATAATTGTTGGAGTGTATTTTTGTGACATCTAACCTAAATTTGCCCTTTACAACTTCTGCTTGGTTCTAACCTACTCCACTCCTCCAACCAAACAGAACAAGTCCAGTCCTTTTCCACATGAAAGCCCTTTGGACACTTGAAGAAAGCCATCATGCCCTATTGAGTCTTCTCTTCTGGCTAAACATGCCCAATTCTTTAAACCAGTCATCATTGAATATGGGCTGAAGGCCCTTCACCATTCTAGTTGTCCTCCTCTGGGCAATCTTCAGTTTATCAATGTCCTTCTTAAACTGTGGTACTCAGACCTGAACGCAGTACTCTAGATGTAATCTGACTGGTGAAGAATATTGAAATACCATCACTTCTGTGCCTTTTAAAATGCTGCCCAAGGTGGCAATAGCTTTTTTGGTTTTGTGTCACAATACAGAATCATATTGAGCTTATAATCCACTAAAATTCCCAGGTCTTCTTCAAAAGTATTGCTCTCTAACCATACTTTCCTCATTAGTTACTGGTGAATTTGACTTTTTGACTTCAACATTTATTCCTATTGAATTTCCTTGTTTCTTTGTTTCCTTCCTTCTTTCCTGCCTTCCTTCCTTCCTTTAATCCTTCCTTCCTTTCCTTCTTTTAATCCTTCCTTCCTTTTCTTTCTTTTAATCCTTCCTTCCTTCCTTCCTTCCTTCCTTCCTTCCTTCCTTCCTTCCTTCCTTCCTTCCTTCCTTCCTCTCTCTCTCTCTCTTTCTTTCTCTCTCTCTTTCTGTCTCTCTCCCTCTCCTCTCCTCTCTTTCCAATGCTCTATCTTGTCAGTATCTTTGTGGATTTTGACTGTCATCCATTGTGTTGACTATCCCTTTCAGCTTGGTATCAACTCCAAAATTGATAAACATGCCATCTTTGCCTTTATCCAAGTCATTGATAAAACAAACAAACAAAAAAAGGTTAAATAGCACAGGGCAAAACACAAATCACTAGGTTATTATACTGGAGAATTCTTACCACATTGACGTTGAATCCGGCCTCTCTTTGAGACAATGATATAACCAATTCTGAGAAGAGAATTAGAATGTGTCAGTGTCACAGAACAAAAAACCAACAACAGAAGACTTGAGCTCACACTGTTTGTAGTTATATAAATGTAGCTAATTGGTATTAAGTAGCAAAATGGAACTGGGGTGCTAGTTTCTGTTGGCCAGCAGTGAGAGGAACACAACTGGTGGGGGGTTAAGCTGATAACATTAGAGAAGAGATACCCCCGGACCCTTTAGGATGTCGCAGGAACCCTGAAGGGGAATGCAGCTGGGCTGACTTCAGGAGAGTATGCCAGAGCATTCTCATCACATGAACATGTCTAGCTTCATAGGTCACTCCTGATTCTTCCCCAACTACATTGTTAGGTGTCAGCCAGTGGACTCCAGCAGGAATTATGTTTTTTGCTTCAAGATTGGTTCCAGTAGGTGAGTGTTGAGAAGAAAAGTTATGTGTATGGCTGAGGGGCTAGTGAGGAGGAGGGTGAGCAGGGGCAGGATTTTCATTCTTTGAAGATACAGGAGATGAATGCAGTTGTATAGATAGCTTTCCATCAACAGCAGAAGGCACAGCCCTCTAAACAGCTCTTAGAAGGCAAGGATTGTTTCCCCTCTTATCTTTGTATTCCCAGTGATTAGGAAGTTGGTGTGGTGCCTGGCTCATAGCTGTTGCTTAATAAATGAATGAATCAATTGCTTGCTTGCTTGCTTGCTTGATTGATTTGACTGTTTTTGATTGATGTTGGGTATATGGGCAATCACATTGGCCTGTTGCTACATAATCTATGTTTGCAAGCAGGGAAAAACAAACTTGGAAATAGTGACCTTTTCTTTGTAAGCTTCTGTGAGAGATTTAATGATGGAAAACAATTATTAAGAGTGTACCAGGCCATTCCACTAAATTGAAATGGGAAAGTGTATTGATTAACAGAATAGCTTTTTAAAGAGCCGGCAGTGTTTGTCTTTATGCCTCATAAGCAGACAGCTTCTTTTCTGACTCTGTACTGATTGGCTTTTATATGGCAGCATACACAAATATTGCTTTTGCTGGGTAAATATTAGGTCTGAGACCTTGAAATGGTTCTGTTGGGGTGAATCTGTCAAAAGTAAAGTGAGTGGAGAAAAAGCGATCCATTTTAATATCCAAGACCCCAGTGGCATCTTCTTCCTTTGTGTATGGAGCTCTTAAATAACATCCCCCTCGCCCCACCAACTTCTCTGTAGCCATGTAGAGTAAATTCATGTTGCATTTTAGCCATCTCTTAAAGAGTTTTCACAAGTATCCTGATCCCTCCCCTCTCTTCTAAGAGGATAGAAGCAAAGGAAAATGACATTAATCATCTAGAAATGATGTTTTGTAATTTGCTTTGTTTTTTTTTTCTTCACCTAACATTTGATAGTGTGCTTGATATTCAGGAAATTCACATCTACACTGTGGTTCCTTTCCTTTTCCTTTTCCTTTCCTCCTCCTTTCCTCCTATCTCATCTCTTGATTCTCACCTTATCCTTCCCCTGCTTATGATTTACTGAAGGCATGGAGGGCTCTGGTATTTCCATGTTTCTTGGCACTTGACAAGCATGATAGTCTTTTCTTTGAGGCTTACATTCTTGAGGAACTTTCTTGAAATATTTAGACTTGAATTTCTTATGAAAGTCTCTGGTTCAGGCTGCTGTGTGACTCGTAAAATTGTCCCTTTTGTGCCAGGACAGACCCAAAAGATGAACTGTACCCTCTTGGGAGGGAGCGTTAGGCCTAGATGTTAATAACCTGGGGAAGTAATGTTGCTTAGAAGTGGCAGGAGTAAAATTGGGCTGTATGTACTGAATTTTCTATATAAAGGGAATCATTAAAAATTTTTTTACATATGTATGTTCTTCCAATAGCCACTGACATAAAAAATAAAGTATATTGTTATTCCTTGTAGTTCTCCACATTTCATTGATTTTAGAAGTGGAGCAAGGCTATCTGATCAGCCCCATCATTTTACAGAGGAGGAAACTGAGGCCCAGAGAGATGACGCATTGTGTCCCAAGGTGACAGAACTAGTTAATGATAGAGGCAGGATAAGAAATCCAGATACTTCTAGTCCTGGTCTTATTCTTTTCTGTTGTATTGCCTACAGCTCCCTCCATTTCCTAATATTGGATTAGTGAGAGTACCATATAGCAGACAGATTTATACACTGTCTAAACTCACATAGCATGTTATTAGTGGAAAATAGATCTATAATCCGTGACTTTGAGCAAGGACTGATCTTTTATTAGTAAGACGGAGCATAAGAAGGCTGACCTTCTTTTGTCCCTCTGCTAATTAGAGGTGTGCTAATCCCTCATTTTTCTGCTTGTATTAAACAGGCTTCTTGGGGACCTCGGTATATGTACTATTTTTCTCTGTTTTTGTCTCTGTCTCTCTTTCTCCTTCTTTGTATGTATGGGAACAATAATGGTGTTTTCCTCATAGGATTGCTGTGAGGATCAAAGGAGATAACATATGTAAAGTAGTTTGCATATCTTAAAGCACTATATAGATGCTATTATTACTGTTATAATAATAAGGGATAATGGAAAGAGCATTAACTTTGGAGTCAGAGGGTCTTACATATATACTTAAATATATTAGCACTTACACACACACACATATAAAACACTTATATAGGATATAGCATTTTGATTTAGAATCAATGCATGTGTGTATATATCTCCGTTTTACAGTTGAGGAAACTGAAGCAAACAGAAATTAAGTGACTTGCCCAGGGTCACACAACTAGTAAAGTGTCTGAGGTTAGATTTGAATTCAGGTCTTCATGACTACAGGCCCAGAGGTCTTTCTGTTGTGGTCTAAGGGTCTTGGGAACCTCGAGATGCAAGGAGAGTAAAAGGGTGTGTGTCTGCCTTGAAAGGGTTCAGCCACTCAAGCCTCCTTTTAGTCTAAGTAGTGAGTTTATTAAAACACTGGTCAGGGTGGGCGAGATTCCTAGTGAGTCTGCGCTATTTGTGATGTCAATGCAAGCGGGCCAGATTTTAAGAATCTGAGATGACTGCTTAGGCTATATACCAACATCCCACTGAGTTCAAGGTCTGTAGTCCAGTGGACCTGGCATCAGCCAGGTTCTGAAGACTGACCCCTTGAAAGAGACTCAGCAAGGCAGGGACAGCTGTACGCCCCTTGCCAGCAGGAAGCAGTTTCAGAAGCCAAGACCTTCACCCCTTACCCCAAAAGATTTTGGGTCCTATTTGTTTGAGGGAGGAATGATGGAGATGGGATATGAACCCTTAAAAGGAAAAGACTATGTCTTTGGGATCTGGACCCCAAAAAGGAAAGGCCCCTGGACTTTGCCACACAGCCTAGATCCCTGGTGTTCACCTGAGACATTGCCTACCCCAGTAATCCTTTCATGTATCCTTTCATTGAGGCCCTCAACCCAGCCCAATCCTTCATTCTCTGTTACTTCTGGACCACCTCAGGCTATTTACCACTCCTTAATCCCATCCAGACCCCCTTTCTTTGTTACCACCAGACCACCCCAGGCTATTCATCACTCCTTAATCCCATCCAAACCTTCCCACAATCTTTTTCCCTATAAAAACATCAGTCTTGTCCCCATCAAATGTGCAGACTCACTAGGAATCTCACCCACTCCAACCAGTGTTTTAATAGCTCACTACTTGAACTGAAAGAAGGCTAGAGTGGTTGAATTTTTTCCAGGCAGACTTGCAACCTTTGCCCTTGTATTTCAGGGCTCCCAAGACACTTAGACTGCAGCATTTCCACTGCACCACCAGCTGTACTAACATCTGGCTGGTGAGAGGTTTTGACAAGCTGTTTCTCCTACTAAATCAGAAAAAACCTCTCCCCAACTAGTTCCCAACCCATATTTCATAATAATACTTATGAAAGATGCATTTCCGTAGCAATTAGCATAGTGCCTGACATTTGGTAGATACTTAATAAAGGCTTATAGTCTTGACTGACAGCAGTGGTTCTCAAAATACATAGTTTCTGTTAGGGTTTGTAGAATTACACAACAAAGAGATAGTTTTGGTGGTTGTTACACATCCTTGGAGAAGAGAATTTCCCTCCAACTAAATTTAATGACTCCCTCTTTCATTCTGGTCAAAGATAAACAAAAGGGACAACTTTCTTCATTTGGTTAACAAATGAGAATTTATTCATTTGTTAACTATTAATTTGGCCACCAGAAGTTCTCTCTAATGATCTCGCTTAGGTCTTGCCTTCATTGGGGAAATTAAGCTTATCATGTTCCATTCTAGTGAAACAAATGTTTAGGCCTTTGATTCAAGGGAAACTGGGAGATCCAAGTCTTTAGGCCACATCGCTATTGTAATACTAATTCTGATTTTCATAATTCAACTGATTTCTCGGTGCGTTTGCCTACATCGTGTGTGTGAGTATGTATATATATATATATATATATATATATATATATATATATATATATATATATGTGTGTGTGTGTGTGTGTGTAAATATATATATATATATGTATATATATATATATATTTTTAGTAGATGTGAAATGAGAGCCACTGGGGGCAAGTCGTAGTGTGTTACAGCCAACTTAATTCTCATTAGAGAGCACACCCCCAACATGGGCAAGTTTAAATTTTTCTATGGCTATTAATGTAACAGGACTGTTCCCTGACTTCCTTTCTTTCCATCAATTAGTAGTTCCTCTTCTTTGCCCTTCAGAGTATTTGACATGAGTGTCCTGAATCACATTTGGCTCAGACACAGCAAGAGTATCCAATACACAGTTGACAGAGTCTGTTCTAAAATGTTGCTGTTCCTGTTTGACTTACTACGTGGAAGAACAACATCACAGAGCCCAGATAGGACAGAAATTGTGATAATATGAAATGTGATCAAGAGGAGTGACAAATCATTAAGTAGGAATTTGGTTTTCCTTGTCGATAGGAAATAAATGATTACTTTTATTTTTCTAAGCAGAGGGCACTTTCTGAAGCTAAATCCCTCTTCACCTTTCCC